AGTTTCTCGACCAATCAGCGCGCGAGATTTTCAATAATCACCTGTGTATTTATACTAATAAATAATAACTACTTTATTTTAGCATATCCATTTGGCGGCTTTATATATCTGAAATTTTTCTAAATAAATAAATAATATTATATATACATGCAAACAATAGGGACTCGATAATCAATAATTAAAGTATACATGATAAAACTCTAGATATTACATAAATGGGGAAAATTTGCGTGATAATATAAATAATAAGTATAAATGATAATAAAATAAACATGCAGTAAATATTCTAAAGAATCTTAAGCGGGTTCATAAATTATTTACCGGCAAAGCTGCAGGTACTTTAGATACTTGTATTCATAGACTGCCTTTTACCCCCTCAAAAAGCAGGAAGTTAAAAGTGAATTGATGAAAGTTCCAGAACGACAATACGTTCACTTTTGTAAATATTATTCTTATAGAACGGGATAAAATCATTAAAAATAAATAAATTTGTATTTTATTCAAACGTCATACTGTTACCACACCAATGTACCTTCATACAGGAGAGCAACACTTTGAATATATCATTCTTGCTCTAACTCTCGACGAGTAGACAGCTAATTTTATAAACAAAGCCATGGAGTTCCTCGTTCTAATTCTCCTGCTTGTTCTGTTGTATAAAGTGGACCATATCACAAGTACCAACACACACGATGATCGTAACCCAGGATTGTTGTTTGATAACCATCCTGGTTACCTTCTGTCTTTACCCGCCAACATGACCAAAGTCAAACAAATAACTACCAAAGTCTCTAGCAAGATGGATTGTGTGTTCGCTTGTGTTAGGACATCTTGGTGTCGTTCGGTCAATTTTAAGATCACAGCTGAGATGGACGGTCGTCACATCTGTGAGCTGATAGCTACTGATAACTATACCAACACAAAGTATTTGAAACAGGACGAGAAATTTACTCATTTGAACATCAAGGTAAGATATACATGTCCAAATATTGTGCAGTACAGAAAGAATTCTATTTCTATTCATAGTTAGTTTGCTGCGGCAATAGACTTTTCTCGTTGATAATTTCGATACCTCCACTAGTACCATAATCTTTCCTTTAATCCTTATCTTAATTTTGAACTTTGTTGGATGGTCAAAATTTTGGTATTCTGACGAAGCTGTTTTATTAATCTTAATTTCCGTTATAGAATCCGTGTGCAGACGAGCCATGTCTTAACCAAGGAATATGTATACCTCATAGTAACGGGTTTGACTATCGCTGCAAATGTAAGGAAGGATATCACATTGGAAATAACTGTCAAAAGGGTGAGCTTAAAGTCAAAAATTCTTTTTTGGAATTAATTCCTTAAAAAAAAAAGATATTTTTAGCCTCTCAAGATTTCAGTATTAATTTATTTTTTCACGTTTTTTTTAAAACGAACTCTATTTTTAAATATAATCAGGATGCTTTAAAAAAATGTTATGTGTTATGGAAGTGCTTGCTCTTGGTAGAAGAACTGTAAGGACCTCTTTACAAGGAAGTATAGGTTAACCTAACACTGGGCGGGTTATCCTAGCTTAGTTCTATAATTTTTCCTCTTCTTTATTTTAACACCTTTACTGGCAAACGCACCCGGGTTATCCTAGTGCTAGGGTTACCCCCCCTGTCTGTTTAATATTGAAACTCTTCTGACCGGGTTATGTTTCCCCTTCATTTAAAGTCGCTAGCTAGGGATAACTCGCCTTCCAGGGACAACTTTTAATTGTTTGTTGAATCTCTTGTTTCACAAATAACTTAATGATTATCATAACCCAGCAATTGACTGTCTGTTGAATTAAAATATTAACAGGTAAAATAGATTTTAAAGTCAAAATTACCGCTCATACATTCCTATCGTAAAGTTACCCCAGGCAGTAGAGTTAACCCTACCTATATTTTTTCCTTACGAGCAATTACCCTGCGTGCAGACCAAATTGAATTCTCGTTAAGGGAGATCAACTCGGTTTGCACACAGGCTACCGAACTATCTATTGGCCCTATAGCTAGTGGGTTAACCCTGGCACAAAAGTTACCCTACCTGCTTGTAGAGTGGGCCTAAGAGGGTCTGCTTCACAAAGGTTTATTGTACTCCAACTTGGCGCATTCCCGTACGATGAATTACCCATCTTGCATTCCATAATTATAACTAATTAGCTTTTTAAACTTTCAGTGACCTACCTCTTGGGTAGTCCCGCGGAGACCTGTACCTCCGCCTGCGCGTCCCGCGGGATGTCCTGTATAGAGGTTGGTGCATTCCCGAACAATGCATTGTCCATTTTCCACTCTATCAATGTGAATTGTAAGACGCCTGAGGATACGAATTGGTATCTTTATAAGGACCAACCTAACTATGTTGTTGCAAGCCACTGGTCAGAACGATGCACGGGATTTAAGGGACTAAATGAGTTTGAACATTCTACCCATTGTGGTATAGGAGGCAACCCAATTGTACAGAGGCTTTGCCCGTGTAAAGAGCAATTGTAGGCTATAAGACACGACAATCACGAGAGTGTTTTATAGACAACAATTTTCTTAGTAGAAAAGCCATGGAAAACAAGCATGTTACCTGCTGGAAGGATTGGATATTCAATGATGAAGATTTTGAAAAACTTTATCAATGTTCAAATCGTGAACTGAACATTTAACCTGTACAAACTCGTAACTGAGAAAACCAGCTTATTGACATTTTGAATGCACAAGGAACCGAGAGACTGAAAATTGATTTGATCAGTCATAGTCGGCCAGTCAAGAGGTGTAACGGGGAAGGCGTGGCTAGTGTGCCTCTGTTTTGATGGTGCTTCTAAGGGATGATTTGTCGAGGTTAATGGGGATTGATCCACCCCTACATGGGGGATCTTGGATGCACCCCCGCCTGTGAAGTATCACGTCATGAATGTAACCTGTTTGGATCTTAAATAACAAGAATCAGTCCTGGCGAGGAGGCGTCTATTACTGATTCGCATATCAAGCTTTACTCTATATCTTAGTGTCGAAGTTGGTGTAGATAAAGCTCACTCCATATACTATGGTATGGTCAATTCCATATTTGGATTGCGCGGAAAAGCGGCAAACAAAAAGGCCGTCGTTTTATAACGAATTCGACATGAACGTTTTTGAAGAAAAGAAAAGAAAAGAAAAGGAAAAAAGACAAGTTAAGAAAGAAAAACTTTGGAAAATCGAGGAAGGATGCGGGGACGATGCTAACTCGTGGGTCTGCCTCGCAGACAACAGACACAGGGAAATACGACACTCAATGTTTGAAATGTAAACAGCATGATTTTGAAAAGTGCTAAAGAAAGGAAGACGTCTTTTGTTTCTTTCTATCGCGTATACATCTTCTTCGATCTTCTTCTTTTTACATACATACATCATTTTATTAAACAAAGCTGGTTAAGGTTCAGGCAGCCAAAAGATGATGTGGACCTGCACTAAGGCTAATTACACAATATTAAAAAGTCTAATATATTAAAATTCTATATGTAATATTTAGTATTGAATTTATGAACCATTGTAAAGCACGGAATAAAAAAAACATATCCCCCCCCCCCCCCCAAGTTCTGTAGTGTCATTCGTAAAAGCCCCCCGCCTCCTCCCCCCATATTTTAGGTTGGATTCGCCCTTGCAAATGCATATTAAGACAATAAAGACGTTCAGATTGGCTGAATATGAAGTGAATAATTCAATGGTGATATTTCTTGATTTAGTGTTGCATCTTTTTTAAGTTTTAATTAAGCCGGTCAAGAGTTTTTCTTTAGGTTCTTTGGTTTTCCCCACTACGTGAAAAACACCGTAATGACTAATTTGATCTGCGCGTGTTAGCCGTGCCCTGACTTAGATCAGCCAAGAAGCTGTTTCTCGATCTGTGAGTTAGCCGTGCCCTGACTTAGATCAGCCAAGAAGCTGTTTCTC